CGCCAACTATGTAGAAATGCGTCTGACACGTTTCCAGCTACACCCTCCACGGGCGATGGGGTCTGTAAAAAGCTTTCCATTGTGGGGTTCCATGCGGGGTTCCAGAAGAGTGGAGTCCAAAAAACACCGGTCTGCCAATTCTTTCCCAGGGCGCCGTGCAGTGGGGTCCACCCCTAACATGACCCCAACATGATGCCCCAACCAATCACAAAAGGTAGGTTGCTGGCTCCCCTTCCAAAAAGGTGGGATGTGTAATCCAACCGTCCGTTTGTGAGATGATCTACGGTTCGCAGTGGTCTCACAGTCACACAGGTGGTAGAAACTAAACTACACGGGTGCATGTGGGCCGAGACCCCGGGGCTCCAGCGCTTTTAGGCGGGTCTTCGTTCAAAGCCGGGGCTCCAGCGTTTTTAGGCGGGCCTTCGTTCAAAGGCGGGGCTTCATTCCGTCAGCGCGCATTGCAGACCGGTGGACTGGACCGGAACGAAGTGGCGGAGCGCGGTGCTACTGAGTAGGGTCCTGCGCGCTAGAAGGTAGGGCGTGGGGTTGAGTGTATGTAAAAGTGGTAGCGTGCACGTGTGGGAGGGCTTGATTTCCGTAAGCGCCTCGAGCGTGGGTCGACGTGTGACCCCTCTCTCAATCCGCGCCGAGTCGATCAAGCAGCTGCAGACGATGCTGGCAGAGGAACCTGCGTTCGGCGGGGACGGCGTCGGTGCTGCTCGGCTGAACAAGTACCATCTTGGCCCGTCGCCCGGCAAGTAAGTTGTCTCTCTCTCTCTCTCTCTCTCTCTCTCTCTCTCTCTCTCTCTCTGTATGTTTGTGTCTTTCTCCCTCTCTGTCTCTGTCTATCTCTGTCTCTCTCTGTGTCTGTCTCTCTCTGTCTCCCTCTGTCTCTCTGTCTCTCTTTCCCTTTCTTGCTCCCTCCTTCCCGCTCGTGTATCCGTTGGTTGTGATAATTAACTGACCTCGAAGGTGGCATATGGCCGTGCTTCGCTTGACATGTCCTCTGGACACGTGGATGCACACGTGTACGTTTGTACATGCGATATTCTGGTGGCTACTGCAGAATGCCAACACTGACTTTTACAAGCCATGGCTGTCATAGGGTTTGGCAATTGTCGTCTTCGCCGTGGTTGTCATGGGAGGGGTAGGATGGGACAAGGAAGGTACGCAAAAGCAGAGGCAGGGAATCAAAACAAGGAGGACGAGGAGAGAGAGAGAGGGGCGGTGTAAGAAACGGAGCAGAGGAGGATCATTAGGAGGTGAAGGCGGAGGGAAAGAGAAGGTATAGGAGAGAGGAGGAGGATAGAAGGCGGACGAGAAGGAGATAAAGAGGACGAGGAGTAGTAGTATTAAGAAAGGAGGAGGGAGAAAGGAGGCAGAGAGGAGGAGGAGGAGGAAGAAAGGAGGAGGAGAGGAGGAGAAAGAGAGGATTAGAAGGCGGGCGAGAAAGAGGAGGAGAGAGAGGAGTGGGAGTAGGCGAAGGAGAGACATGAGGAGGAAAAGGTGTAAATGAAGAAGAAATGGAGCAGGAGGAGGAAGAAATTGAGGAGACTGATGGAAAAGAGGAGCAATGGAAGGGAAAGAGGAGGAGATGGATGGGGTAGGAGGATAAACAGGCAGGGAAAGGAGGAGGAGGGAAAACAGAGGAAAGAAAGGAGGAGGGGAGAAAAGGAAGAGGAGTAGAACGTGGAGGAGCAGGACAAGAAGCCGGAGGTCAAGAGTGAGCAAGCATCGACAGGAGCCGGGGAAGGAAGAAGGTTTTTTTGGGAAGGCAATTTATTCTTATCTAAGTGCAAACATTATGCAAACGTTGTTTTTAATCCTTTTGATTCATTGATGATCAACGGTGTCTGTCCGCCCGACGCTTGGAAACCTTCTTTCCCCCTACTGATCGCTTGTACCCGTCGTGAGGGTTTTTCTCATTTAATCCACCAACGATTCGAAGAATGTTTGTCATGCGTTCTTGGATTTGGATCATACGGTTTTCGTGATTGATGTACTGGAATTAATTATTAATTAACTGTGTTGTTGGTTAGTCTGACGCAGGCTGTGTGTTATCGATTAGCTGTAATTACTAATTACCGTAGTTACTGTAATTTATTATCTCTGAAAGTGGAAAGAAAATTCGGTAGCAAAATGTGTGGTCCACAGCGGAGAGGCGGAGTCAAGGGTGTTGGGGGAAGAAGAAGAAATCGAAAGGTGCTTTGTTGTGGGGATGCATTTCACCTCATATAAGAATAAGGGCATTCTCACACTATGACATAAGTCAATGGATTTGACCGCATTTCAAGGCCAGATTTAGAGATTGAAAAGTCCGGCTATGGTGTGAATGAGCATGCCCTAAGGGAGATGCTAATGAAGTACTTGCACTCTGGAATGGTGGAGTTAAAGAACGTGGATAAGTATATCGACGAAGTAGAATACCCTAAGAGATGGCCGGTTTTTGTGAGCTTTTTTTTCGGCGAAATTAGCAAGTATTATATATCGTTACAATTGATATATATACATATCGTCAAACAGAACTCCCCGGTAAACCCTAGGTAGACAGGGAGAAGCGGACAACAAACGAGGGGCTGTGACATACTTTTTCATCGGAGTTCTATATGTATATATAGGATATATATGTATACCTTGTCCTTTCTTTGACTGGATCCCTTTCTCTTTCTCTTGGCTCTGTGAGGTTTGGTTTCCTCCTCCTTTTCTTTACCTCTTTGCCTTTTCGATGTGTGCAAGTGGGTCCTTGTGACACACGGGAATGGGGGCAGCCAGTGCTCAACCTGTCATCCGCGTGGCTGGCCTTGTACGTAAGAGGTGATGAACAGGCGGAGCTTTCCTTCCTTTCTTTTTTTGTTTTGTCTTTTTCTGCCTGTGCGCTCCGATTCACAGTGTGACAATATATTATAGTGTTTGAACAGAAGTGAAAAGCAAGTAAATAAAGCCGAATCCGTTATCCTTACGATTTCGTTGGGGTGCTGCCGGCCTGCACCAGCAGGATCTTGCCGAGGTTCTGTGATGCTTGCGTTTTTGGCGAGCATGAATCTGGTCTGTATGACAACCAGGTTCGTGCAAAAATTATCACAGATATACCACCACCAGAACTGGCAAAAGATTTGATATTGATACACAAATTCGTAGTTTTCGGCTGCATGATACGGAACGGATAACGTGGAACGTGGAATGGATAACCAACTAGCCTAGCTCAGTTGGTACACCCCTCGACTGTTGAAATATAGACCAGAGTGTATGAACTGTTGGAATACAGACCAGAGTGTATGAACTGTTGAAATACAGACCAGAGGGTATGAACTGTTGAAATACAGACCAGAGTGTATGAACTGTTGAAATACAGACCAGAGTGTATGAACTGTTGAAATACAGACCAGAGTGTATGAACTGTTGGAATACAGACCAGAGTCCGAACTCCACTGGGAGCAGCTGAGTTAAAATATTGCAACTCTGAATTGCGTAGGGCCGGTCAGTTCGATTGTGATATCTCAAGGCCGTTGTCCTTTAGATTAAAAAAAAAGGGAAAGGAACGTGGAATGGATAGCCCTTAAAATAAAAAAGGGAAAGGAACATTGAATGGATAACGTGAAACGTGGAATGGATAACGTGGAACGTGGAATGGATAACGTGGAAGGTGGGTTGCATGACATGGAAGGCTTGGTGGTGGCGGTCTCTTCCTGCACGGCTGACGTGGAATTTGGAACGGATAGCGAGTGAAATTATACTGACGTGAGTGTGTAGAACCGGGGTAAATTGAAATACAAATGGAGATCGGGATCGGGATCGGTCGGATAACTGTCGTTTGCCGTCTATCAAGGAAAAATAGAGCTGTGTGTAAAAAAATCTTGAGATGCATACCTCCCCCACCCCCAACAACCATTCTTTTCCTCTCTCTTTCTTCTCTCTTATCTGATTGCATCTGGATTCGAACTTGGGTTATGCTTTTCAACAGTCCGTGGGTGTACCAACTGAGTCCTGGGCCAGTTGGTCTTGAGATGCATTTAGGTGGCAGAAATGGTCTATTTTCTGTGCTGTGGGTAAGAATGTGGATAAGAAAGGGTCAGTTAGTTGGAACAGATGTTCGGGGGGGAGGGGAGGGGGGAAGAGTCAATCTGTGATATAGTTAGAAATCTGGGTGGGCGGCAATTCTCCCTCGCAGTCTGTACCCAAGATTAGATCATAAGACATGTGGAATTATTCTCACGATGCATAAGAGGCCCGGCCAAGGCCCCAGTTTCTACAAGCTTAACACTTAAGTTATGAAGGATCATCAATTCGTACAGCTTATCCATGACACATGGCTGCCAGCGGAATGACCATTTTGATTCACACCAGGAATAGTTTAATAGTGGTCTTCTCTTTCTCGCTAAGAAATGTAAGAACTTTTCCAAAGACAGAGCAGCGCAGTGACACCGACAGGAAATGGATTTAGAGATGGAACTCCTAAGCCTGGAAACCCAGGCAGCATCACAAGACCAAATAGAGACCACCCAATTGCTGCAGTTTGCACAATATAGATGGCAAGGGGTTAGAGTCCGAGGGAAATTGACCAAGCGTACCAAGGAAGCTACAATGGACACCCATTTCTTTAGTATGGCGACCGCGCGCACACTGGACAGTCATCGACGCCCTCTTCGATCCTGAGAAGGGGGAAGAAGTCGTTGCCACAGCACACCTCACTGCACGATGATCACCAGAACCTTTTTTAAGAATCTATGCACCTCACACGTTCAAGATCCGGACGGGGCGGAAAGACGGCAGGACCTGGAGGATTTCTTGCGCCCTATGAACAAACGCCTATCCTGACAGCAAAGAGAGGATATGGAAAGACCGTTAGTCAAGGAAGAGATCTGGACAACACTCTTCCAAATGGAGGAGGGGAAGACACCCAGAATTGACGGACTCCCTGAGGAATTCTGGGAACGCATGTGGACAGACCTTTGTGCTGACTTATGGGAATATTATCAGGGGGTCTGGGAATAGGGGGAGATGGGAGATGTGGTGGGGAGGGGAGTGCTGTCACTGTTGCACAAAAAGGGGGATAAAATGAACCTTAGGAACTACAAACCTATTACACTTTTCACAGTGGTATGTAAAATGCTGGCGAAGGCCCTGGCAAACCGGATGGCGACGGTTCTAGAAAACATCATCCACCTGGCGCAAACCGGCTTCATGACCAATAGGAACATTCAAGAGAACATTCTTTTGGTTAACGAGGTCCTTAGCCTTTCACAGCGTGGAAAAACCAATGCAGCTATTATCTTTATAGATTTGGAAAGGCATACGATCATGTTGATTGGTTTTTCCTTGACCAGTGCCTGGACAAGATGAACTTTGGGCCATGCTTCCGGCGCTGGATCAAGATTTTACACAGCAACGCCACCACTTGTGTGCAGGTAAATGGTTCTGTGGCACCGCAGTTTCCCTTCTAGAGATCAGTCAGACAAGGGGACCCGATAGCCCCCTTCCTCTTCCTCGTTATAATGGAAGCCTTGTCAACTAAACTGAGGCACAATAAAGATATCAAACTGATTGTAACTGGCAAGGATCCCGGAAGAGGCAGTCCCAGTGTGCTCGCTGTTTGCTGATGACCTGACCATCCTGATGGAGGCAAGCATGAGTAACATGGAGGAGGTCCATGCCCTAATGGATCGCTTCTGCCGCCTTTCTGATATGGCGGTGAACTGGGGGCAGAAGACGGTGGGCTGGTGGCTACACCACAAAGGAGGCAGACGGCCAGAAGTGCCACACATATCGTGGCTACCCCAGAGGCGCCGCTGTGGGTGCTGGGAACCTGGTTGACTGCAAAAGGAAGGCCGCCTCGAATGACGAGTGGATTACGCACCCCGCACAGACTAAACTGCAAGCATGGGACAATAAGCACACATCGCTCTTTGGGCGGGCCCTAGTGATCGATAATGTGGTGTTGGCCTCTCTATGGTATAAGTCGGTGTTGTGGTCCTTCACCAAACACAGGTTCAGGGCGCTTGAGAAACAATTAGTGGCCTTTTTATGGAGAGGGGACAACCAACTTCCACAGGTTTAGTACAGTGGTGTGGGACTCAGTCATTCAGCCTAAAACTAGAGGCGGTTTGGGGATAGTCGATCCTGCAATGTCCGAATTGCTGCACTTTGTGCCTGGAGCCTCACAAGAGCGTTTTCCTTCGGCCTGACCCAACTCCAAGCCCTCAGCTTACAATGGATCCAAAGGCTTTTTTTTGTACCCTCGTCCCCTTGGGTCCCTCTGGCCTTGGCACAAATTGCAGACCTTTTCCCTGAGACCCACCCTCAAATTGACCTGCTGGTATGGCTAGAGGACAGATATTGGCGCATTCCACGCAAGTATCGGAATGGGGCACCAGTGGAAGAGCACTGGCGGCATTTTTTGAAGGCATGGAGAAAGCTTCCTCTGCCTTCCAAACCGACCCTTGATAGGTGGGAAGAAGTGTACAGACAACCCCTCTTTGGTAACAAGTGGATCACCGACGCCCAAGGTCGAGTGAGGTGTAGCTCTGATCCTCCGTGGAAGGGCTGGGTGAAGCATGGGGTGCTACGGGTAGGGGATTTGTGAGATGTTGAGGCCAAAGATTGGAAGAGCCTCGACAAAATGAGAGGGTGGCTGCGATACTGCCACCACACTCGGAAGATGCTAGAAGAACTGATAGAGAACCTTCCTCTGGCATGGTACACCATTTTGAGGAAGGGCCCCCGGCTGGAGGAGGGAGACTGGGTGGGTCTAAACCGGGAAAAGGACCGGGTGGGAAGGCTCCACCTAGTGGGAAAGGAAGGAGTGCTGGTGGAGTTTTATACAGTAGGAAGAGAGGATTGGCTAATCGGGAGCAGAAAGCCCTTTGAGTGGAGGAAAAGAAGTGAGATGTATCGTATTAGAGCATTGGAGGGGGACATACGATGGAAGGCATATAGGCCCGGCACCCCGATTGCAGAAGTGCCCCTGGACCCGGGAAAATGGAGATGGCTTCACGATAGCAGGGGGGTCAAGGGAGAGGAAGACCACAAAACGGAGTACAGCTAGCAAACCTGAAGGTAAAGTCAGCGTATAGGATGCTAAGGAGAAGGAGATGCCTCCGGGATGTGGTGGAGGATAGGTGGCATCACCACCTGAATGTGGACAGGGGCCCTACTAAGACCCATAAGATGGTTCTACGAAAACAAACTACGACCTGCAAAAATCTCCCCATTGCAGTGGCAAATAGCCCACCGCTGTTTGCCCACCAACGACTAGCTGATTGACCACATCTGGCTGGGACAACAGGGGCACACACTGCCATGGTGCAAAAGCTGCATACGTACCTTCCCTCTGTATAAGAGACCCGAGACGGTGGAACACATCTTTATGCAGTGCCCATCAGCAGTACTGCTATGGCGGTGGTGGGACAGGATCTAGCGGTAGATGTTCCCAGACGCGCCATGGCCTTGGGATTGGAGGGCGATCCTGTTGGGACACCGCCCAGGCATCTCAAAAAATGCGTGTGAAGAAAATCTCTTCCACCTAGGCAGACGATCCATCCTATGGGTTATCTGGTGGAGGAGGTGTGTCCTGGAAATGGAAGGAGCTCGAGTGGAGGAAGGAGAGGTAACGAAGCAGCTCAAGCAACAGGTGCAGACAAAGATCATAACCCGTTGGCAGACGACATGAGAAAAAATGGACAGTTCATTTTAGGGGAGATGCCGATCGAATCATCTCCTGGTTCTGCGAGGAGAGGCTTGGAGGGAAGAGAGGCGGGTGGATTTTAAGGGTGGTGTTGTCAGAAGACGAGCACGGAGAATAAGAGGAATGGGCTTCCCAAAGGGATATGACACGGGACTACTTCACAACTGGACAATCATTGGCCTCGGTTTTCCCATCATAGCCGCGCAGGACTTTGGGGATCCTTTCCCCCCCCACCTGTTGTCATTAACAGAGTTCATACAGGGGGAGGAATAGCGGCAGTTCAATTCATCTTATGATTTCTCTTATCTCTCTTATGTTGGTGAGTTATCCTCAGGTGGTTCAGGAGGGACGTCGAGCCCGATTCTCAGCATAGGCAGAGCAAACCAGGAGGTAGTATAGCTAGTGCAGTTAGCATAGTCAGAGCCTGTTGGAAGGCGGGCCGGGGAGCAGACAGGGACCACTGGTGTCCTCCAGAGGCCTTGGCTGGGCCCTGGCCTTGGGCCTCAGTTCTAGGTATGAAGGACATACAGTGATGGGATGCTGGACCCAGTTTCCAACACCTGTGTTCTCTCTCAACTTATCTCATGTTTTTTCCAAAAGGGACGCCGGACCCGGTTTCCAGCAGGTGATGCTCCCCACCAATAGATGGAGCGGCGGCTAACAAAGCCTCAATCCCGGTGGTTCTCTAACCACCGCTGGGATAAAGGCCTTGCACAAGGGCCTTTGCAAAAAAANATGTGTATACAGTGTAGTTTTCGGGCCAGATACAGGTGATGATGATCCCATGTTCTTTTCCAAGACGAGCATCCATTCTGCTATGACCTTTCTGTGTGATGTCAACTTCAGGTAATGTCGATATGGACTTGAGTTTGACAATTTGGACCCTTCCATTCTATGTTCCTCCTTCGAAAGCATGAATCTGGCCATTTTTAAGAACAGGATCATGTTTTCTGAGGATGGACATAGGGCCACGTCACATCAGTGCCAGGCTTTTGTATTAGCAAAGCATGAACCTGGCAATTTTCAGGCCCGGGATCATGTTTTCTGAGCAGGAGGAGCATGCTTTCTGAGAATGGACATAGGGCCACGTCACATCGGTGCCAGTCTTTTGCATTAACAAAGCATGAACCTGGCCATTTTCAGGCCCAGGATCATGTTTTTTTTTCTGAGCAGGAGTGTAATTATAGGTTACAGAGCAACTTATGCCACCAGTACATGGCCCCAGCCAAGTTGAGAATCCGATTGAGCCTCTCCTAAAAATTGCGGGGGCTTGGGACAGGGCGTCCCAAAGGCCAGTAGAAAATAAATTTGTCCCATGCCATGGGGTGGCACTAGGCCCAGCCCTGAACAACGAAAAAAAATTAAAATCCCACCAGCCCCTAGGTGGGCACTGTCCCGAGTGCCCTAACTTTTCGGAGAGGCTTGTTCGAATTTTCCAGATGTACTGTTGGTTTAACGCTTTATTCTCGAAAAGGTGTAGGTAGGTAGCTGGCATCCAAACAGTCATTTGGGTTTTGTCACTTCTATGGAAATTTAGGTAGTTTATTAATTTAGTAAATTACTTAATAGTAAATTCTTCTTTTGCATTTGGCAAGCTGATTTTATGTGGTTGGGTTTGATCTGTCCTCCTTTTTTTCCTCTCTCTCTCTCTCTCTCTCTCTCTCTCTTTTCTTGCAATTTCCTTGTTTTCTTGTTTCTTTTTCTTTTTTTTTTCTTTTGCTGCACAGGTGCTGGGAGCATTGGCGATGGTGTTTGCATTCTACTTGATTTTCAAAGGGCCAACTCTTTTCTCCCAGTCTGGGTTTCATATCCTCTCTGATGTCCCTATGTTTTTTTCTAGAAAAGAAAATATTTCCTTTTTTCTCTCTTGAATTTGGAATGCCTTTTCTTTCCTTCTGGCTTTGTGTGTTTCAATCATGTATCGACCCACTATGCTTTCTGTGTGTGTCTCAAAGCCTTTTCTAAAATTGGTGTTTTCCTCGCATCATGAAATTGCAGACATATCCCAAGTGTTATGCATATATATTTTCTTTGTTGAATTCATGACTGCTCCCATAACATTAAAAACTATTTAGCTACAAAATCATTGAAAACCTCATCAAATAACCAATCGTTTGTTCAAGAAGCAAAAGCACTTCATGCCTAGTAAAAACAGTTTGTCCCAGCCCCCCTCGGCTGTTGTCCTCCTCTCCCTCCCTCTCTGCCCCTACGGTTTACCGGGCAGCTCTGTTTGACGATATATAAATTGATTTACACAACACGATATGCCAAAAAATGCACCTAAAGCAGTGAACAAAATGGACGAGCACAATGGATGGCTACCGTCTGGACTCCTGTACTGTAGAATTGTAGACGTTCCAACCTATTATAGAATTGCGGATATTCCAAGATATTATAGAAGTGCAGACATTCCAGGCAATCATTTGGTGAAATCAATCTGTTTTTTTTTTTTTTTTTGCTTTTATTTGCGGAAAGCAATCGAAAGCGCGACCACCCTTGATGCTCATGCAATCAGACTCGTTCTCATCCACACTTTTCATGCATGTAAACAATAGCACAGCAAACTGGCGACATGCGCCCACTCAAAACTCAGAGATATGGCATCCAGATAAGAGTTCACTTTCAACTGGCTATGGCGACTCAGCGCCCAAACAACTCACTGTTCACATACACCAGATCACCCTGGACATCCCACATGCTTCACTCTGAGCACTCACACATACACACACACACGTCACACTAAGCTACAGCTATGGCAGCTATGGCTGCCTCTACCCTATCGCTATGCTACGCTTCTCTCTCTCGCCCACTTCAGCTCCGGGCTCTCTGCAGACCTCCTTGCACAAGTCGCTGTGGCAGCGCTTCCGCATGGCTCACGCAGGAATGAATGAATGGCTGGGCGCTGCCTCTTGATTTATACTTCTGAAACTCGTTGGTCTGCCCTTTGCCATCGGCCCATGGTGCTCACAGTCCCTTGTGGTACTTGCTGGACCGGACTGAGACTGACTGGACCTGACCGCTGACTGACTGGGGGCTCACTGCTATCCCACCTGCCTCGTACTGCAATCGCACTGCGGTTTAGTCTCCACTTGCCTCACCACTCGACCACTTGTCTCACCACTTGACCACTTGTCTCACCACTTGACCACTTGCCGACCTTCTAGAAGGTTTACAGCTAGCTTCTGGAACTCACTAAGACTCCTACTCTATAGATCTACAGATAGAACCCCTGCTTCCTATGGGACTCTACGACAGACTACTAACTGTTACAAATACACAGGTCGCAGGTTCAACTCCCGGGGTCCTCACTGGTACTGTACACAGGTAGGGCAAGGTCTAGGGATCGAACCCTGGGTTCTGCGTCTGCTACTGCTAAGAGGTGAAAACCGTTTCACTCAGACCAAAGGGGAAAATAAAACATGCCAACTTAGGAAACGTCAGAGCTAACACTGCGTGGTCCCGGAAAAAAAACCCTGCGTGCCCAAGGAACTCCGCTGGGCAGCAGGTGTCCTGTGAGATGACCGTGCGGGCCTTGTTTCACCTGGGCCCGCGCAAAGTGTCATCTGAAACCTTGTTCTTCCTTACTGCGCGCCAAGCTTTTCCGGACCGCCAGCGGCGCACTTTCTTTCTTCCTTGGCCGCCGTCTCCAGCCATTGTGGCCCGGCAGGCCGAGCCTCCGAAAATTTCGTAGGCTATGAGTTGCATTTTCAGCAAGGCTGGGGCCGTGTACGGGCGGTTTAATAGTCCCTTTAATAGTTGTATAGATATAGATATAGGAAAAAGATCGCTCGTAGAATTGCATACATGTCCACACCATCTGTGGTCTGTGGTCCGGACGTTTGGAACTCTCCGGATTAAATTCAAAATATTCAACATGAAAGGATTTCAGTTGTCTGCCCTGGTCCCAGTCCCAGTTCCAGTTCCAGTCCCAGACCTGGTCCCTCGTACCACATGCTCATGCCCAAGGTCAGGGGTACTGGCAATAGGACAATAGGCCGTTGTAGGTAGATTTTGGAAGGTAGCAGTATTCTTGGGAAAGTCGGTCGGTTTCCCCTTTTTGAGCCAGTTGGTTCAGTCAGCAGCGAAGTCCCAGAAAGGTCAGGGAACCTCCGGATGGGACAAACATTGGCTCAGGATGTGGCCCACACCCGGCAGAGGAAGTCCGGAAGGGGAACATCGGATACAAAAGTCCAGTTGTTGAAGCCGTCAACACATATTCACTGGTGAGGCCAAGCGGAAGCGCTGCTGTGTTATTTGGGATGCGTTGTTGTACACTGCTGCAGGAAGTACTTGATAGTGCTGGGCTCCCATAGCTGTAGTTAGGTTGGAGTAGAGAGATGAGGGGAATTCAGAGAAGGTTGAGATCTGTCTCTTATACACATCTAGATGTGTATAAGAGACAGATATAACACTTATTCATCTGTCCATCTCGTGAAATTGGCAAGAGATTTATCGTCAGCCGACGTCAGGGGACAGTTTCTTTTTTTTTTTTTTCCCCTTCCAAACCAATTGGTAGAAGTTGACGCACGTAACCCAGGGGCGAGGCCCAACTAACAAAGAGGATTTGATTATGCGCCTGAATCTGGATGGGTTTTGAGCAGAGATGCAGCAACCTAGATCAATCACGATTTTATGATCTTCTTCACAAACATGGCCACATTCTGGCGAAAAGTCAAAGAGAGGACGCAAACGGAAAAAAGGAAGAAAGGAAAAAAAAAAAAAAAAAGGAAAAGGAAAAGAAAGGAGGAGGAGACCTTTCGCATATGAACTAAGCCTGCTTGTATTTATGCGTCCACTCTTTGACAGCATAGCATGACTTTTTAGGAAATCTTTCCCCTTTCGCCAGGGGGGTGCTTGTAAGAATGCTGCCTGCTTGGTGGGGTATTTGTGTCCGTGTTTGGCTGTTTCTTTTTAGGAAATCTTTCCTCTTTCGCCAGGGGGGTGCTTGTAAGAATGCCGCCTGCTTGCTGGGGTATTTGCGTTCGTGTTTGGCTATTTCTTTTTAGGAAATCTTTCCTTTTTCGAAAGGGGGGTGCTTGTACTAATGCCGATTGCTTGCTGGGGTATTTGCATTCGTGTTTGCCTATTCCTTTTTAGGAAGCCTTTCCCCTTTGGCCAGGAGCCTGTGTGAGCCACCTGTTTGCAACCCGGTTGGAAAGACCTTGTTGTTTGAATAATGGCATGTTCCTTAAAGTGGTACTACCTTATTTTCAATGAACGTGGCCGGAATTGAGGCGAGGTGCATGTGCATGAGTTCTAGTGTATGTACGCTTAGCTGTCAAAAGTCAGAGTAGGCTATGGAGCGGAGGATCAAGTGTCCCATTCGTCCTGAGAAGCAGTAAAAGTTCAATGAAAAAGTCCGTTGCAATCTGCAAATGTGCTTTCTACCGCCGGAGGAGGAGGGTGTGGCGGGTTCTTCGCCCTCCAGTCCTTCATGCCTATGTGCATGGGGATACATGGCTTCTGCTCTCTTCACCACCCTCCTTTGTTGGGTAGTGGCTAGCTTGTCAAGTAGATTACAGATTGATCGCTGTCACTGATCGATGACAACTCGGTCTTTGTGTGATTGATCAATGACTGATTAATATCATTGATTGATTGATTCTCGATCGATTGATTGATCAGTTGATCGATCGACTGATTGATTGATTGATTGATTGGTTAATTAAGTGATTGGTTGATTGATTGATTAATTGATTGATTGGCTGATTGATTGATTGACTAATTGACTGATTTGATTGATTGATTGATTGATTGACTGATTGATTGACTGATTGATTTATTGATGACATCATCATGAATAATGGGTTTGAGATTAAATGACCAATTTCGGACTAATCAATTTGTGATTTGATGGACTGATGAGAGACATCGATGACTGCTTGGTCAATGAGCGCTTCTGAGCAAATGACAAACTGATTGGCCCATTGATCGAATTACAGATTGATTGATTGATACGTTGGTTGCTTGTTGCTTGGTTGCTTGATTGATCGATTGATCGATTGATCCAACCATCATAGACTAAGCAATCACAGAATGATCGACAATTTACTTACTTAACAACCCCCATCATAGACTAAGCAATCACAAAATGATCGACAATTTACTTACTTGACATAGTAATCCACCGACAACAACCCAAAAAAAAAGAAAAATGGATGCGGAATGAGGACGAACGAGGATGAGGATTACGGGCGAACAAGGAGTCTGGGCCTCGCTCACTGATCATCTGATGTGAAAAGTAGCAAAACCTGGAAACATGCCCTCAGTCGACATTTTCCACCTTTTGGCAGGGGCCAAGATCCCCTTTACTTATCTTGCGATACAACCTTAGCGTCTCAGTTCGATCCCCTTGACTGGACAATCCACCCTCATGAACCAACACAAGGTTTAGTCTGGGTAAACTTCATACCACCGTCTTCTCTTGAAGCGCAACGCCCTCTCAGCAGGGCTGTATCTGACCGGAAAGATCGCTTGTATGCATTCATCACGAGGATGTGTTGAAGACGGCAGCCGACCCTCGTGATTCTCCGCTTATTCTATCAAAATTCGCGTCTCTGTTTCCCAAAACATTTATGTCTGTCTGTCTTTGGGCCTCGCCGCACTACTCCCCATACGCACAAGGGACAACAAAATATGGCGGTGTATCTTCCCATGTTCGAGCTGAAGATTCACTCTCATTTTGCACATTTGACAAGTAGTGGAGAGATGCCCCATGTCTATATTCCTGATAAATCACGAGTGTCTGTACTAAAGGGTGGGGAGACGATCCAGGAAGAGGACATCGTTGGGGTAATCTCCTGAGGTCCGGCGGATATGATGTTGCCCGCCCGGGTAGTTATTCTTGTCATGACGTGACCGAGATCACTGTTGCCTACGCTTCCTCTTGCCCTTTCTCTTCCAACCCGTGAACACTTGTGCCGACAGATAGTCTAGCTGAAATGGGGCTTCATCATCTTTGTCAGATTGTGGGATCACAAACAGTTTATTTTCTTGATTACAATGCATGAAGGTCTTGTCAGATTGTGGGATCACAAACAATTTATTTTCTTGATTACGATGCATGAAGGTATTGATCACGAAGGATCATTCATCGTCCTGACCACGGCGGATCATCGTAGCTACATTTAGCGCATAGAGCGTGCGTCGTAGCCACATTTACCGTATAGAGCGTGCGTTGTGGTCATATTTACTGCACAAAGTGTGTCTGGCTACCGCTCATTCACTTTGAGGGGTACACCGCACCGATCTGATGGCGCTTTTTGTCGTGTGCAGGCGGGAAGAACTCTCTAACAAAGGTTGGTAATTGATTGTTTGAGACATCGAACCACTGTTCGGTAAATGAAGAGCCGTCTTAGTCTTCAATGAGGGGAATTGTGAGATCTGTCCCTTAGGAGTTTAGGCTTCCGAGGGACGGAATCACAGTATGGTTGAACATGTGTGTGTGNCGTTCTGGAGGAAGATTCATTCATACGTTGGGTGGTGGAGAGCGAAGGGCCGATGAATCAGGTAAGCACGTAACGTATCTCTGGAACCTTTCTTTTTTTTTTTCCGGAGAATCTCTGAACAAAGCAGACTGAATCCTCCGCTTGAACATGGAAAGATACATTGCCATATATGTCTTGTTGTGCATGTCGAGAGTAGTGCAACGAGCCCGTTGGTGAACATTACCGTTGAGGTTCTGACAGGTTGGACGCGCCGGGCTTCACTCGTGCAAAGAAATTCTGATGTTCTTCCTTTACGTTTTTTTCTTTTTATTAAAAAAAAAAAATTCCAGGAAAAACGGCTGTCAGTTCCGTCGTTTTCTACTTCAGAAGTAATAAGAAGAGAACGTTTTGAGAGATCGCACCCCTCGTCATGACTGAATCTGGCCTGCAAGAACCCTACCATACAGACTGCAATTACCGTTGAGGTTCTGACAGGTTGGACGTGCCGGGCGACACTCGTGCAAAGAAATTCTGATTTTCTTCCTTTACGTTTGTCAGTTCTGTCGTTTTCTACTTCAGAAGTAATAAGAAGAGAACGTTTTGAGAGATTGCGACCCTCATCATGACTGAATCTGGCCTGCAAGAACCCTACCATGCAGACTGCAATAACCCTACCATACACACAGAGTGTTACCCGAACTACAGGTTACTAAAAGCTTTCAGGCCAGCGCGCGGCCTCCAAAAAAAATTTGGCTGCCCGTTTCTTATTTTACGCGAGCAGGGGGCCGGGTCTACTACCGCCCCTCGCAACCTTTTTTTTTTTTTTTGACCCCCATTTTTGGAGGTGCGCCGCATGCAGTGCGCGCGCGTCGTGCGGGATGCGTGGTGCGGCGCACGTGCGCAGTGCAGCGCATCGCGATGCGCCGCAAGTATGATTTTCAGACTTGGAGGTCGGCCGGTTCAAGAGTGTGGCGTGGCGAAAGGCACTCTCGAACGGGATTTCACGTTCGGGAGCACTCCCGGTAATTTTCTAAAACTCGGGAGTGCCGTGGCGAGGCCCTTTTTTTTGTTTTTTTTTTGTGTGAAATTTGTTGGAAATTTGTCCTTGACTTAGCTCAAACTGACGGGGGCTCTAAATGGGGAAGAAGATATAGCAGCTGAGGATATCAATTTGAGCACTGCAGGTATTGCCATAGCTGCAGGTATACTTGGTGCTTTACGAAGGGTCGTTGCCAGACGGACAGCGGTGAAGGTATTTCTCGCCCTCCTCCCCTTCCTTCTTGGTCTTGTTCGTCAGTTACCATCTGTCTTTCGCAAAGTAATTTCCATACCTTTTTTTTTTTTTTCCTTTAAATTTCACAGCCCCCTTCTATCCCTCTACCCTTATCAATACATATGTTTCGCTTTTTCTTAGTTTGTGTCTCCTTTCAGCATTCAAATTAATTCAGCACAGAACGCTTGGATGTAAACAGTGATGACTTGCATCTGGCTCCAGTCATCGAGATAGGGGTACTAACAGTAAGAGCATGAAGAGTTTTGGAGGGGTGCTGGATGATTGATTGATGGGGAGGGTAGGGGACGTATTCCAGGCCGCCTCCTGAACAAGGATGCCCCCTCTCACAGGGGTTTAGAGGTTTAAAGTTTTAACCTGGGTTGCACACCGTACACTTACGGGGTGCGTACCCCAACATACTCCCACATATGCTTACATAAAATGCTTGTAGGCTACTACACGAACTTCAAAAAGCCATAAACAGAAAGAACTGAAAAGGATCTGAAAAAAAGATGCACGTTAAGTATGGTCAGCAATTGTGAAGCAGCGACTTGAATACAAACAGCTTTTGCCTGGAAGTCATCTGGAAATTCTTAGCCCAATTTTCCACTTAAAAAAAAGTAAAACACCACTTGTGTGTGTGTGTGTGTGTGTGTGTGTGTGTGTGTGTGTGTGTGTTTGTGTGTGTCTGTCCACACGTGCCATGTACGTATGTGTATGCGAGACCCGCATGCATACACACATACGTCGTGCTACCTGGGTTTGGACTACCACCCTCTCGGACAGCTCCCAAGTGTTGCGATATTGAACTGAGGGGCATTGGGGGAGTTCAGTGGCAGGCTGAAGGAGGCCTGTCGGGCTATGGAGGATTAAAAGTTTCTTTGGCTACTGATCTGCACGTCGAGGTACATTGTCAGAGGGTGTTGTGTTCCTTGTGGCTCTTACTTGTATGGACGGAAGAAATCGTTCACTTGTTTTTTGGATGCACAGATACATTTTGGAGGGGGTAGGTTGTGAAACTTGTTTGTATAGTACCGTAATGAAGTTGGATTTCATCTTTTGTATTTCGATAGGTTTTGTTTTGGCTCCGTTTGCAGGTTTTCGAAGTTTGATACCACCTCCGATGGAGGTGCGGAAAACGAAATCTATCAATATACCGCGAAAGGTGAAACAATTTCTTTCAAGTTTATGCCCAAGCTTAAAACCGGACGTTCATTCAGAACCCTGTCCACATGCACAGACGAGACGAGACACTGTGGGGAACCATCCCCCCCCAAAAAACACAGAAGAACGTGGAACGCTCAACTTAATACTTTCCTGAATGCATCTTACTGCAAATAAGGCCATGCGCGGATGAATCTGACGGCAGTTACAAAAAGAAGTCTATTGTGATAATGCCCTCACGGATGTCAGTGCCCGCCTCCTTGGCGCGTGTGGCGGACACTGAAACAAATGGAATCACGCTGTACGTTTTGTAATGTATCTGACCTGTACGTTTCGTAATGTATCTGACTGCTCTTACTTCCACACCAAGATGGATCTGCCGATGACAATCACGTCCAGAGCATAAAACAGAAGTCCTGTGTGAGTATGACCTCACAAATGTCAGTGCCCGCCTCCTCCTTGCTGTTAAAGGCGGGCATTGCAACGGGCAGAATCTTCTCAGTGGAATGAGTGGCAGTTTTGTGATTGTATCCCACTGCGATTATGGCCAGGAGTGGATGAATCTGATAGCAACGGCACACTCACACTGGGACTTTTTCTACCAAGATCTGGACATGATTGCCCATCAGATTCATCCAGGCGTGGCCCATAATTGCGGTCACATACATTCAGAAACTGCTGTATGGCCACGTGTGGCATACTGCGTAGCCACACGGGCCCTGTAGGACCCGTCCCGGACATTCAGCCTAAAAGCCTAAAACTTAGGATCTACACGCCCCGGTCGTTTCAGCCTGAAAACTGAAAAACGAGGGCCTGCAGGCCCTACTCCGTTTCAGCCTATTTCTGGGTCTTTCAGACCCAGAGTTTTTCCAGCCTGAAACGGAGGGCTATTCTTAGGCCCTGGGCTATTTTTAGGCCCTCATTTGTTTCGACCTG